GCGATACTAACGCGCAGCCGCTAGCTTCAATCTAGAGCAAAAGCCCCCAAAAAATCCCGCACACAGACTATGCTGTGGCAATGAATGAAATACCCCAAAAAATACATAAATAAACAAATCCCCGTGTACACTTAAGTGCTGCCCTGGGCTCGTTACGCAGATGAAAAGACAAGACTCACCAGATTAGGTTCTTTTTGGTCTTGTGTGGCAAAAGGATTCCTTCCGTGCGCGGGACGAGCGCGCCCTCCTTTGTCTCCAAAAAGGAACAGAGGCTGGTGATCCAGGTCGGCCAAACAAAGCCGCTCGTCCCCGCCGAAAGTATCCATGCCAAGACATGTCAGCAACGCCAAATTGTTGTAGAATTCCATACCCCATGAAGGAGAAAACTCAAGGGTCCTTTGTCTGATCAAAAGCGTAAGTTTATTGTTAACGCACGTGCGGAGAGCCAGCACACACACACAAAAGGCAGCATGTACCAGCTCTGGCGCCAGAGCCCCGAGCTTCCTGTATACAAGACACACACGAAAGCCAGTCCCGCCCACAACAGATGGGAGGGGGGCCACCGGTGCAGGAGGCGCATAGGGATGCAAACAGACTGCAGGATGTAGGAAGTGCACACATACAGACCGATACATATGCAAGAGGTGAAAGGGGGCAAGAGTGATCGCCATTGTCTGTAGGTGTCGGGGGGGGCCCGGCTCCTTCCTGGCAGCAGGGACATATGGATAGAAGCAGGCATACAGATTCAAGATACGAAAGACACAAGGGTGTGACAGACAGCAGGGGGCCCTCACAAGCTCAGCATGGCGTCAGAAGGGCGTCTCTGCATTGATAAAAGGCCTTTGACGTCCGTGTATTTGCTGCGGCTGGTTTTATGTAATTACTCCAAAAACTGTCACCACAGTATCATACAGCTGTGTATCATACAGATGCGGCCGTTCACTCTGCACCACTCCGCACACACAGAACTCATTGCAACACATCACTACCATGTATAACTCCGCCCTCTAGCTAAGTCTGCGTTCATATCAGTGCGCGGCACTATATACTACGCTAAAACATTGTTATGGGAGGTTACAAAAAAAAAAAAAAGGCGGGCTTGATGCGGGTTTCGGGCCTGAAAATTCAAAAACCATATCGGGCCGGGCCGGGCTGGGGCGCCACCCCCTCGGGCCAGGGCCGGGCTCGGGCCAGGGCCGGGCTCGGGCCAGGGCCGGGCTCGGGCCAGGGCCGGGCTCGGGCCCAGATAATAGGCCCGTGCAGGGCTCTAATTTATCTGCTGATGGCCACCCTAATTTGCGGTCTGAGCAAAGCACTTGATGTGACGCTGTTTCTGACTATTGAGCAGTAATACAGTGTCACAGATTCCAGCAGGCGGAAGCATACTGTACTGTATATGTGTTATTTAAAGTTAACTAGTTTAATTTTTCTTGGCTAGGAACTATCCCAGAAGAACTTATACAACTATAATACATGCAATTATTGTTTTCCGCACTGCCCTGAAACACCTCTCCATTCTACAGTGAGATTTGTTTGCTTCTGTGAGGGGAATGTCCCAAAGTCAAACACAGTTTTGACCTTCCCCCTCGTCCCTCTGAGAGGCTGTATCTGCATTGTGACATGCTCTGCTTTCACGCCCCCTAGTGGTATGTTTAGTGTCCACAGTCCACTGATAAAGAGCTGCTGTTATCGGCAGATAGCAGGCGCTGCGGCTGAATCATTTATGGAGCCATTCCAGAACAGTGGCTTTGAGTGTGACGCACACAGAGGACCATCCCTATGTATATTAGAGGTCTCTTTATCTGTTGGGATGTGGTGGTAGGAGTTCCCTATTTAACATTAAATCATGTAACATTATTGTTTCCTCATCAAAAACCTGATGGGCCAAAATACCTGGGTTACAGTTGTTTTTTTGTTTGTTTTTTTTTTTACAAATTTACAACTACTCCAATGAGCCATTTAAAAGGCAGATTGAGGTGTGGAAAAATGTCAATGTGGCCCTCGCGTCTTTATGGGAGCAGGACTGGAGACTTTTTTTTTTTTTTAGGACTGTGCAAAACCAGGCTAAAACCATCGTAAAAGTATAATTTCCAGCCCAAAAATATTTGTTCGGCCCCAAATAGAGTATCTCATGTTATATATTGTATATGATATGGGATTATTTTAATTTTGAGATTGATGCTAATACCGTGATGTCAGAGTATCATGTTTAATAACTGGCACAGCTTAATCAGTTTTCTCTGACTGCCAACACAAAATAAAAAGTGGGACATAGATCACAATCTTCTCAAAACAGTCTCTGTGAGTCGCGCTGTGGGATCACACACCTGCAGCAACTGGAACAAAAGCCAGAAGCAGAGGATTTGGAGGGGGACTCGGCTGCACAAAAGCCAGTCAGATGAACACATTCTACAGCAGAGTGATAGGGGCTCACCATCAGCACTGGGAGAAATATGAAACTAACAGAACCTGCCTGCCTTTCACGCTCTGTGATAAACTGACTGAGGGGTGTGTGGTCCCGACATGTCCCAGAGAATATGTCTGATCGTCCCCGCCTCTATTTTTACTCTCCCTAGGACGACGAGATGGTTAGCCTCGTTCCCTGTAACAGCATGGTTATTAGCTGTACAATTAAATCGTAAAATGTGTGTCAAATGTTACGCTTTTTAAAGATTCAAGAATGTACTTAACATATAGGCATGGTTATAGCTGATCAGCCCCAAAGAAGCTTTAATCCCCCCATATCTCTTTGAGACAATAGCCTGCATTTTCTTTTTACTTGCAGAACCTATTCCCAATTTAAAAACTTTTATCATCTTCAAACGTCTTTCCTTTATGGTGGTATTACTCCTACACAGCTCATTACACTGGTCGTGAAGCGAGCGAGTGAAAGAGACGAGACGAATGTGAACTGATGGACTGTCCACACTCATCATTTTCATTGCACTCAGACGCCACTGAGCCTTTAGTCGAGAACTTGACCTGATAGAAATTATTTTTCTTATACACCTTTGACTATGAGATGCATTGCAAATATATCTTGATTTAGAAATCAAACATGGCTTTCGTTCTGTATTTTTCACATTGAACCCTGTCTTCCTGTGGTTCTTCACGTCCTCTTTATGCGTATCCAATTACTCTTACATATGTGAGGATCCATTTCAAGACAGTGTAAGTAAATGGCCATTCCACCTCCTGTTTCCGTCAGGACGCCACTATCGTGTTTCAAAAAGAGAAATGGCATATAGCATCAACCCAGCCCTTAAACATGATCTTGAGAATGTTTACTTCTTTTTAGAATCCCAAATAATTATATGACCTGTTTTTAAAGTATATTATATATTCCAGAATATATATTGTTTTATAGAGTTAATGTAGTATGAAGTGATTGGGGGTGTGATATTAACTGTTGGATTGGTGCACTGAGAAGGCTGTATTTTTATCTTCACTTATGGTCATGAGCTTACCTGTACACAAATAATGTACCAATATGTTTTCACTAATCAAAAATGTGTTAAAAAAAAAAGTGTTAACATTTTGTCCAAAAGGTAGCTTCCAGAGAACAGTGAGAGGAGTTTAATTTACAATTGAAGAAATAATGGAGCTGATCTCCTGCTGTGCACTTCTTCTGCTCTCGTGGGTAACAGCTTCTGTAACGGCCTGCTGCATTATCCTCACTGGGTTTATTGACCTCTAAATGACTCCATTTTCTTCTATGTGCATCTTAAAAAGAGAAAGTCTGTAGAGTTGTTAATATTCATGATAATACTCATTGACTCTTGATATGTTTTCTACAATATGAAATATCCTCGAGTGTAGATATTTAGCCTACTAAATGTTGTATTTAAACATTGTTGAGCTGTTAGCACTGAAATCTAAATTGTAAAACAGTCTCTTTACCTCTAGTCTCTAGCTGATTGGGATTTAAAGAGAATTAAGTTGTTTCTTTTTACAATATCTGTGTATTGTTGTTGCGTAAAATGAAGTGATTGATTTACAATCTGTATTTTTCATATGAAACATTTTAAAGTGAATAGTCTGTGTCTTCGCACAAGTAAACTTGGTCAAAGTAAACTTGGTCAAAGTAAACTTGGTCAAAGTAAACTTGGTCAAAGTAAACATTTATGTGACTGAGAAAAACCAATAACGTATTTATGGTTAGTTAACCCTCTATGCCCATGGGTCATTTTGGGGAACTTTCCTCGCCTGGTTTTCTTTGTGTATAATGGTTCATAAAACAGTCATCTTTTGATGCAGAGTCAAGCAGTATACTTTGTTTTTTTCAGTACAACCTGGGGTTTTAGAATATACATACTGTAAAGCTGTCATATGAATTATATAAAAATGATGGAATCATAAAGACAAAGAAAAAAATCAAACGGAAAATCAATTTAACAAAAATGTATTGAAAAAACACAATGAAATGCTATAAACAACTTTTTACACTGCATAGAAATGTTATTTATGGTCTTGGGGATAATGGGGGAAAAAATTGAATCTCTAACTATTATACTTTTTACAAAATTCCACTATAAAAGCAAAAAACTCTGTACTCCTGATGCCCTTCTTGAAGCAGTTTGTCTATAATGCTGGGGTTGCTTCTGTAGTACAGCTGTAAAAAACGTAAAACATAAAAAACTGAGCCAAAAAAAAAAAAAACATCAATTATTTATTTAATACATAGATTTATATACATCATATACACATAATGTCATTTTACTGTATTTATTAACGTCTTTATCAATAATGCGCACTCTTCAGCCGGTTTTTGCAATCGCAGCTGTAGTTTCAACTGTGGGAGAACAAGGAAACGCAGAGGAGAGAGAGATCTCACTCTCTGACGATCTTTGGCAGTCCCCGTGTGTTTGTATCTCACAGCTGTTTGTACCTCACGGGTCATGCTTTGGACACGGACTTTCAGACAAACGTAGTTTATCCTCCGTGCATCGCACAGACAAATCAAAACTAGTTTCGGAAAGCCCTGATTACGTACTTCACAGAGGGAAAAAAAGTAAGTTGCTACGTTTTACCGTTCGCGAGTAAATTGATCATTTGTAAAACATGTGCCGATGCACGCGGGCATATAGGGTTAAAACATGACAGATACGAGAAAAATACCTCATAAAAGTAACATGTTTCTCTTAAGCCCTCCTTACTCCTCACACTTTTATAGTAAAACTATTCTTTGAGCCATATTTTTGGCTTCTGTTCAAACCTTTAGAAACTGGAAATTCATGCTTTGTGATTCTCCGCAACATAAAACATTTTAAAGAAAAGAAAGGACAGAATCCTTTCAGAAACTTCTGGAAAGAGCAACCAAATTAAACGTTTCAAATTCAGTATCCTATGATGGCTATGACCTCCTGCTTTAAAGAATAAAACTATTGTTTCTAAATTACTTTTGTCTATTTCACCCTTATAAAATAGTTCCCTGGATCCGTCTTTGAGATCTCAGGACCACCGTCCCCAGATTCAGACAGTTTCACTTGAATTAACTTTTATTTTTGTGCAATTTGGGATGTTTGAAATCTAAATATGGCCAAATATAGTTTCCCACTTCTACCTCTAAATTGAGGTAATTTTTTTTTCAGTATGCATTATACATTTAAAATTTCCAATTCAAAAACCTTAAACAACAAAGTAAGTACTATCTAGTCTGTTAGATTTGCATACCTTTCACTAGGGCTGTTAAATGATTAAATGTTTTTATCGAGTTAATTACAGCTTAAAAATTTATCGTTATCGCATTTCTAACAATCAGCAAAATGATGCCATATTTTTCTGTAAATGGTTGTTTGAATGGAAAGATAAATGACAACATAGTGTACATATGTACTGTATTTGTTTATTATAACAATTAATCCACATAAAATGGCATTAACATTATTAACTTTATGTCTTTCTGTTTAGACTCAGACCAAAACTATTGTTTGTTACAGATGAGGGACATTTCCAAACTGTCTGAAATGCAGAATGTCATTACATCTGTTTGATTTGCTCACAACATTTTACTTTTGGGCACAACCAACATGAACTGGTAGTGAAAGGGAAAAATCAAGTACCCCAGCTTTAATTTAGCGAGTGCGCTTCGGGAGAAGACATGGATGAGACACAGAGAAGATTGAGGCTCTGACTTTAGAGCGGCGATGTTCGCCGTGTTGTTGTCAAAGCGACAGCCGCTGGAGGTGACAGCCTCGGTCCAGAGCGGCCGCAGCTGCCCCGGGTCAGAACGCTACGGCCACGGAAGATGCAGACTCCCGTTCGAGTTCATACAGCAAACAATGGCAAGTGACCCTTGGTCATGCGCGTTTTGATTTTAAACTTGATTTCCCAAGTTTGGCAACTGAGTACCTGCTCGGTTGCCATCTCACACACGAACGTATCCGCTGCATTCTGAATGTTATTATGGGATGGATGCGTCAATGCGTAAAAAATGTTGACGCGATAAAAACATATTTACGTCTGTTAACAGGATAATTTTGAAAGCCCTACTTTTCACACATAAATATAATTTAAGTTATTTTATTTAGTTTTAGTATTACTTACCCCTTTGACATGGTGCAGCACAGGCCCTGGTCGCTTCACTCTAGGGGGACAATTACTTCAACCTTCCCTTCAGCTGGGCCATCTATCACTCCACTGCTGTAATAAATGTGCATTTAGATGTTAGTGTGGCCCATTTTGCTCAGTATCATGGACCTATCTTCTCTCTAACGGCTCTAATTTTATGGTATTATTGTTGCCTGGAAAGTTATAAGTTTAAGAATTATTCTGCTATTTAAACATGATCAAAGTTCGTGGTATGATTGATTTCCCCTTTAACTCGATAAATCTTCCACCACTGCTACTGTAAAGCTTCAACTTATCACAGTCAATTCCTCAAAAAGTTCTTGCTTGATGGAAATCTTCCCTCTTACAAAGTTTTTTAGAGGAATTGCTCCAATTTTTATCAAGAATCAGCCATCTCTCATTGTCAAGGATCAGCTTGGGGCTTTTCAATAAAGATGCAATAGAATATAGTACCAACATTCAGACTATTTCCAACTCTGCCTAATCATCCACATATTACATATTCAGTAAATAAAAAGTAATTTAAAAAGTACGTGCGGAGGGCAAAAGATCCAAATGCATTGGTGTCTTGGTCTTGGCTTCAGGATAAAGTAACCTACGCAAACATGCATGAACTTCTCTAAAACAACTTCTACATACCACAAAAAGCAGGTTTCAAATCACTTAACAAAAAGTGATCTGACAGTTGAGGAAAGTTCCCAAAAACACGCTAAAACTACAAAAACAGAAGTTGAGTAAGTAGAATCAAATATTGTGATCAACATATGAGCAAAAGGAATCCGGTCATACCACTCAAGTCAACTGTCCAATAAGGCAAATACTATCATTAGTCATAGGTCTTGCCTTGAGGAGAACCCCACCCCCCTTCTTCTCTGCTTCCTTTATGGACCTCCTCCTCCTCTCCTCCCTCCCATCCACACTGTGTTGATCGGCTCAGAAAAGGGAAAGTGCTCGCGTGAAACCTGAGGATCTCTCGAACGAGCCGCTCGAGGAAGCAGACGCACCAAGCATCGTTTTAGCTGCGAGGTAAGACTCTTCTTCCAGGGACAATTATCAATCAATTATAAACTTACCACGCTAAAAAAATTTCTAAAGCTGCTTTAAGGATACATCACTCTCTTGAACGTCTGGGACTTTTTATTGTTATATGGATTTTAGAAACACCCACTATAGCATGTGTGAAGCTTAATAGATATGTTTAACCTTCTTGCTTCAAATGGGCACTTACATTTATAATAACTACCGGCACACAGCACTCATTTACATATACACACTCAGATGTAATGGGAGAATTCTGTTTTGTATTCTGCTGCTTTATGTCCGCCTAAATTTCAATCTCAATTGTGTGATCAGAGGTTTTGCTGTGGAGTTCACTGCAGTCATGATTGGAGCCAAAGTTTGAGACAATGCTACATTTCAGAATGTGTAGCACAGACGAGAGAAGCCAGTGGAGGGAGGAGCTGCAGTGTTTTGGTACCATTCTTCAAAAAGTTACTGCTTCTTTGAAAAGTATTTTCTTGCTTTTTCTGTGCAATTGATCTCAGTCATCCCTCATTGATCCCTCAGCTTGGTTCTGTTTAATTGATAGTAGTCTAATAGTGGTGTGATTAAAGCTGCACTAACTGACTTTGGGATTTTGAAGCCGCGGACCCGCTGGCCTCTCTCTTTCTGCTCCCCTCCCCGCACCCACGAAGCTATCGCCCCCCACACACACCCACTGTTGGGACGGAGCTAGTGTCTCCCAATATGGATAATACATGGATATGGATTTTCACGTGGATGGCGTAACCATAGAACGATAGAACCGGGAAGCGCGGAGGAACGAAACTTTCTTTTGGATGGCTGTTTTGCTGTGTAAGCAGTAACCGGCGACGAAGACGAGGAAGTTTCAGGTTAGCTCCTCGGCTTGTTGTGCTAACTCAGCCGTCTATGCTAACGGACCTGTAGATTTCTCACGAAAGTGGGGGCTAGTGGTCCGCTGTGATTGGTCACAATCTGCGACCCGAAACACATTCTCTTCCTTGTTTCATCAAAACCCGATCTAAAATATAATGTCACGCGAGCACAAATCTGCTCTACTTTTTCTTCAAAAGGACGTATATCCCAATGCACTACATGGACATGGATAGCATTTTCGTAATGAATACAAAAATAAAGTCAGTTAGTGCATGTAAAGCTCAAAATCTCCATGTGTATTGTTTCAGATAATTTCTTTAAATTACAGAATCATATATAAAAGACCTGCTTCTTTGCTTGGTACTGTATGATGAAAAATAGGATAAAAAGCTTGTACATTATTTAATTAGAGATATTTTTATTGCTCAAAAAATGTGAAAGCTTACATTGGGTTGGCTCTCCTCTTTGCATACAGGGGGAACTCTTGGAAATAAGTATATCATTAAAAGGCTCATTTATTTCTATAATTCAACTTAAAATATGAAACCAATATATGATAAACTCATTAATATCATACAGTGACATATGTTAAAGATTATGGCCCATTATTTACTTAAATAAAGCCGTGGTATATCTCATTTTGTGTGTAATGTGTCTCATAATAGACTTTTTAACAGTGTTCTTATTCTCCGAGATTCCCCTGAATATGATTTGCTAGTTAGGGATGCACCGATTGTGAAATTTTGGGCCAATACCGATGTTTGACATACGAACTTGGCCAATGGCTGATGTTTCTTTACTTTTTTCCATATATATACATATATAATTTCTTGGCGACAGTTTTTTCTTAAGCTTGCATGCTTTACACCGCCTCATGCTTGCATTTCAAATGTCCAATGAGTTTTGTTGTGTTAAATGATTTTCTAGCAGTTTACCCCCTCTTGAAATCTCACTGGAACAATACAAAAATGAATCACATGGAACAGTGCAAACGTGCACCTCTGATATAATTGGCTTTGCCAAAGATGCGCTCGGTTTGACCGGTTATTTGGTACTACGTACGTAAGTGTTTCATCTACCTGGAACATTCTGCGCGGCACAGCTAGGGCTTAGTGTCAGGGGTAATGCAATAACTCCGTCACACAAAGTGCATAATGCTGATCTTTTTCTGATACTGTAAAGTTTTGCCACACGACCACCACCGCCGTCTTTGTTTCTTCTGAGGAAGGTGCGCAGACGCCCTCTACCACTCTTTGAACACGCCTACCATTGGCGAATGTCATTTTTATTTGCTGATGGCCGATGGTATTTAACAAGGCAAACATTGGCCGATACCTATGTTCAGCTGATGCATCGATGCATCCCTATTCCCTACTTTAAAAAATTTCAGGCAGAAAAAAAAGTAATGGACCCAAGCAAAAAGTGGACCCTCCTGTACCATATATTTGAATCAAAACAGAAAAATGAATCAACAATAATTAATGTAATATGATAATTTTAAATAAAACCCAATGATATCATTTTGAAACACCGTTATAGATTACACAGTTGCTGCAGTTTGAGCCAAAGTTTGAGATAATGCTCTATTTCAGAATGTGTAGTCCGGACAAGGGAAGCCAGTGGAGGGAGGAGCTGCAGCATTTTCGCAAAGATCACCGTTTCTCCAAAAAAGTCCTTCTCAACTGCTGCCTGGTCCGTCGCATTATCGCCTGGGCCACCCCAAAAGCTAAAGGTACAATGACGCACTCATGAAGCAAACTAAACTCCCAACAATCGTGTTTTGTCAGCGCACATGTCTGCTTTTTCATGGTATTTTTAGAAACTCCTGGATCAGTTCATCATACAATAAATCTTGTCCATGTTTTTGTCAGATCTATTATTCTAATCTCTATGCTGTCACTGCATTGTGGATCAGATTGCTCATGTCAGCTAATTATCTAAACTGTCAGCTAATTATCTAAACTACAAAGTTTATTAGATAGTAAATAGTTACCTCATCTTGATTACGCTAACTGTTTAATCCATATATCTCAGGCAACACTTTCTGTGCTAAAATTCGTATTCAATACATTACGTGACAAAAAGGACTTACTAGATGCTGTGCCTTTATTAGTAAGCAAGCAAATGACTAAAAAAAAGTACATCCTCAAAACATTTTTACTTTAGCTTTCTACACCCTCACAAACATTAATGTCATATTGATCTGCCTCTCCGCACCTCCAGAGAGAGCCTAAATTTATGTTTTTCTAGCACCTCACAGTTGGCAGGTTTACTAAATTAATTAACTTTGGCCCAGGATCAGTATTGATTCCTTCTTAGGTTATACGTATTTTAACAATGGCCACGCTGTCCTATAATGTAGGATTTACTACTCCATCCTCCTCCAGCTCCAAGAAGTCAGTCTATAAATGGCACAACACAGCCTGTCCTTACTCAAGGTTATGATGCCTCTTTTAGACAGTCCTGCTTTATTTATGACAAATGAATGAAGCAACATAAATGACAATTAAATTCCTTTTTGACAATACGTACTAGCCACAATCTCTATTGGGTGTGTTCAAACAGGATGTGATCATCTTTCTTTCGGCTTGTACCTCTCCTGCTTGTATGCATACTCATGCATGCTGTCACATAATTCATTTCTGCTAGTTTTTGTTTACTGGCAGCAAATGTCAGGCAAAAAATAAAGCCAGAGCAGTAAAACATCCATCACTTTTTGTTTGTATACCAAACCATCTAGTTTGGAGGCCAAATATTGTTATTCTATTTGTCGTCCGTCTAAACTCTGAAGAGACTGGTGACTGAAGAGGTGTTTGTACCTGGAGATGATCCTTCCAAGCCTTCCATTGTTAAAGAATGTACTGTGTAAAATCATATTTTTCGCGCTTTTAACCATGTTACAACAATGTTCCTCATCAACCAAAGACCTGGAGTTTTATTTTTAGCCCCATCCACACTAGTATTAGGAACTTCTGGCACAAACTCATCCGAGGTGTATCAAACTTTTCCTAAAAAGGCCATGTGTCTATAGGTTTGACACTATATCTTTCAAAACTTAGTGGTAGAAGTGAGAAAACACATTCTGAAATAATTGCATTATTCATTAAATGTTTATCTATATATCTTCTAGTTAAATCATTTATCTTTTCATTTTAATTCTGGATCTTTTAGAATGAATCTAAATGTTCATGGTTTGAAAGTTAGCCATCTAGTGTTAACCTAAGGGAGCATTAGGTCATTACCAGGAATGGAAAAAAAATCAGCGTTACCACTGGCGCATGTGCAAAGAAATGCCCTCACTTTCGGGTTGAGTGGTAATTGCTGTGCTTTATTGTGATTTGTCATTTTCTTTACCTTTCCCCCATCTCTCCATCCAATTAAATGCAGTTATCAAGAAAAAGTTGATGTGATGTAATAACAAATGCTTTGTAAGCATTGACATTGTCATCCCCTCTCTGATGTGCGTGTTTGTGTTACTCGTCTCTCCTCATCGGTTTTCATTCCGTTTTATTAGATGAAGCTGCTCAGCTGCTATCACTGTGTTGGCAGAGGAGCATGTAAAGCGTAACCCTAAAAGCGGAGCCATAATGGAAAATGATAGTGTTTTGTATCTCCAAACTTTGTTTGTTATTAAGACAAATGGTTTGTGTTGGAGGATAATTTGAGAGGCCGTTACGCAGAGTGTGACTGCTGGGATTCCTTTAAGGCATTTATGTTTCTGAAGACACTAAAGACAGCAGACGGACTTGTAAACAACAGTTCTGTCATGAATAAAAGAAATCAGGCTGTATATCCACCTGCAGCGCCTGAAGAAACACTAAATAACTGAAATGTTTTTGAATCGCAATCCTTTTGTAATGTTGTCACTTATAGTGTTGAGTAATGACAATATGTGACAACATTTTACTCTTTTATTGAAAGACACAGCAATAAACCAGTTACCTTGCTTTCGTCCTTCGTCACTTGGCTGAAGCCTATTTGCATCTAGAGATGTGATAAACATCTATTCTTTAGTCCCAGGTGTTGTCTCCCATATTTCAATAACTCAGCTTTCATTTAGGTTTCATCTTTCACTTTCGGTTGAACAAAAGGATTTTTTTTTTACTTATTAAAAAGCGGCACGGTGGCTGAGTGGATAGCACTCTCGCCTCTCAGCAAGAAGGTCCTGGGTTCAAATCCCGGCCGGACCAGGGCCTTTCTGAGTGGAGTTTGCATGTTCTCCCCGTGTCTGCGTAGGTTTCCTCCGGGTACTCCGGTTTCCCCTACCACTAAAAATATGTCCAATAGTTCTGGCATGCGCCTCCTGTACTGGCGACCCCGCTCCCATCTCTGTGTGGAGTGAGAGACAAATGCCCAAAATTAACAATTGTAAACCGCTTTGAGACTCAGATCTGCAGTGAAAAGGCGGTATATAAATAAAAACTTACTTACTTACTTACTTACTATTAAATTGTTTTCTTTGAAACAATACTTTTGAAAATATGAAAGCATGATTGGTAGATAGATAGATAGATACTTTATTAATCCCCGTAGGAGAAATTCAGGTGTCCAGTAGCAGTAACAGTTTATGTTGTATTTATAAAAAGCAACTGCACTTCAGGTGCAGCAGAGCAGAGGTGGTGTAGCCGCTGGGCGGGCAGGACAGGTCGCAGCAGAGGTGGTGTAGCCTCTGGATGGAGCAGGAAGGGTCACAGCAACAGAAGTGGAGCCGCTTGGTTTGGACCATTTGGTCTGCTCTAGTCCAAAGTAAAATGCTGAATGCTTCATTAGCATTTTTCAAAAAGTTCCTCCAGTGGATTTTCACCTGATCCGCTTTGTTCAAACCATGAATCCTCTCTGCTCTGGTCTGGACCAGTATAAAACCATGAACACTGTACTGCAGCAACATCTCAGGCAGGAAAAAAGCAAGAAAAATTACTTTCAGTGCTACCATTTCCCGCGCGTTCTAAGGTAAAGTAAAGGTAAAGTATATAGAAAAGGGGTAGACTAACCTTAAGATGCTGATTAGAATTAACCCGGAACAGTCTCCAAGTCAAGCCTAGTTTGTGGGTTGCAACAACTTAGCAACTAAAGAGCCTATCAATCTGTTGGGTCATCTGTTGGACCTATCTGGATTTACAAATACATTGTCAAAAACAAAACAACCCACTAGAATGACATGGAGCATCAACAAAACAAAACAAAAACGCAAAATGGTGGGTTTGACACCAATTATTTCAGGGATTAAGGAGTATCATTTTCAACTTAAGTGATTAAATAATGAAAAAGTACTTTGTTCAATTTCATCAAATGTTTTAATTTGTTGCACACTCTTCTCCTAGCTGCTCTAGGTACGTTCTTCCACTATGTTGTCCTAGTTTATGCTGTGTTTTCTTGACCTTAAATAGCTTTCTGCATTTAAATGCAGGACTAATAAGTAGCCAGGTGGCCTCTTTGCCCTCTGGTTATTTGCCACACTCTTTACTTAGTCAAGATGTAGCTAGAAATACCTCAGAATCACCATTGGTTCACTGCTCCCTGTTGATTCCTGAAACTCTGAAGTGGGTCAGCTGTCATGACCTACTCAGAAGTTGGTACTAGGATTATATAATTATTATAAATTATTATTTTGTCATCCTTGTTGTTGGCTTGTCTCTTTGGATTTGTCTACACGCTAGTTGAATCACTTTTTTCACATGTATTTATTTTTGCCCCACCACATCTTTGTATCAGCTTTTTCAGACAGAATATTAAGAGAGGACAACTGTCACTCAGCCAATCAGCCCAAAGCATCAAATTGTGAAGTATGCAAACCATAACATTTCTAATAAGAAAACCATTTATAATAAGACAGCATGTTGTGATCTTTATTTAATATTTATAAAACTTTTTACAAACATGTATTATTTTAGAAAGTACCCTAGTTTTAACTGCTACTAATCCCACAATGACAATCATATCATGACATGTTTTATAAGGTATCTAAAAGTTTATTTATATTGAATAAATCAAAATATTTGTTACCATGTAACACTTTGAGAATGTTATATTGCTCAATGGTACTTCCTTATTTTAATTACTGTGTAGAAATATGGGGTAATACTTACAGCACCAACATAAAGCCTTTAGTTCTATTACAGAAAAGAGCCATTCGAATTGTTTATAAAGCTGGATTTAGAGATCACACTAATCCCCTTTTCATTAGATCAGGACTGATTAAATTTAAGGATATAGTAGAGTTACAAACTTTATTGATCATGTTTAAAGCCAGTCACAGAGCTCTTCCAGAAGAGTTACAACAGTTATTTGTGTTTACTTCAGAAAAACAAAATCATAGAAGGAGATATGACTTCAAACATCCAATAGCACGAACAACTTTAAAACAGATGAGTTTATCTGTTGTTGGAGTAAAATTGTGGAATTCTCAAGAAAAAGACTTACAAAGTTGTAAAACCATTTTAGAATTCAAACAGACTTACAAGAGGAAACAAATCCAAATCTACAAAAGTGATGTTTAATTACGTGTTATGTTTATTATGAAATGTATGTGCGGGTATGTATATGTATGTATGTGTATATATGTATGTGTGTATGTATGTATGTATGTATGTATATATATATATATATATATTGTATGTGCTTATATGTGTTTATAAAGAAGGCAGAGGAATCAGCAGCAAAACCATATAATTTTGTTTTGTAAAAGAGGGGGCAGAATTATATAAGAATAATATTCTTCTATCTGCTCCTTTCTGATCATGGAAATGATTGAA